GGAACAGAATAGATGGGGATTTTTTAAACTCCCAGAACGCTGGGAGAAATGTGTACAAAGAAGTGGCGATTATGTGGAAAAATAAAGAAAGGTCTGTAGACTGAGGTGGTGTATTTGGTTTGTCAATAATCAAGCATGTTACTTTATAAAAAATTGTTGCTCATGACTTTCAGTACGACCTACGTACATTCAGCCTTATTTCTCATTGTAAGAGTAATTTGTGTTACTGAAGCCTTCAGAGGAATTTTCCTTGCATTATTTGTGAAAACTGAAGCCTTCGGCAGCAGTAAACAGTTCCTTTTCTGACGTGGCCATTACAGAGTTGCTTATTACAAAGGCATGTTTGACATCTTTGGCATCTGTGTAAGCCAAGATATAGTGGACAGATATACTGCTATAAGTGGACACACAATTTGGTGGAAAGAAGTGTGAATGTAGATGTTTTGGGAGTTGTCCTGTTTTCCAGATTTTTCCTCCCAATTATATGTTACCCTGTAAAATGAGTCTGACACATTGATGGCCTTAAATGTAGTGTTTTTTTAATAGTAAAACGCTGTTACTGTATTGTAATATGGAGGAAGAACATAAATTTTAGCACTGGCCTATTAATGTTGATATGAACACTCTTTCTGAATCTTTTTTTGTCCTATATGTATAAATATAGACAAAATTTTTACTGAAAGCTGGATATATTGACGCTACAGATGTGAAGAACATGCATGGGCCAGTGCTAGAATGGTGGGGGTTCTAACATTGGATCATTGGGATGTTCATTATCCACTCATAATTAGCATTCTTGTCTTCCAAAGGCTAAGAAAGTAGATTTTCAGAACACCAACTGAAGCACATTGGACTGTTAATTATAGAGCAGGTGCATATGAGGCAGTGTGTTTGTCCTGTCAGTAAATGTGCTTCCCATGTATTTTAACCTTGCAAGAGGTCAGGTGGCTGGAACTTATCTTGTATAATTACACTGGCTTATTCATAGTTGTTTTTGTAGTTGTTAATGAAGGTATAGTATAAATGTGGCTGTTGTAATAATGTTTTGCAATAACATTAGAAGAAAATGAGGCTAGAGAGAAAATTTCATACCAAGGGGTTTCATGATTTGTATTCATAACCTAATCTTATTGACATTAGAGTGGGTAAATTGAAGATTATGAGATTGCCAAGGAATGTAACATGCATACAGGATTTTAATTTGGAAACCTTAAGATAGGTGTTATGTACATGGCAATGAAACGTTTGGGCTCTAAAAATTAAAGGTTGAGGAATTTCTTGACTAGTTGAGCAACTGTTAGCTTTTCAAGAAATTCCATGCTTGACTGAGTTAGGTTAATTTTTATGTATAATTGTTCTTATTGGTTACTTTCACAGCTAGTGTGGGTACATTACTTACAAATTGAATAGTGATAAGAAAGTGCATATTTTGAATAAATGCAATTGCTGTTGCAGAAATGATATATGAGTGTTTATTGTTATTTATGTTTGATGGTACAGGGTTGAAAACCATGCTATTCTGTGTAAGACAATTAAAAGTAACTACATTTTGCTTTTCAAAACTAAATACAGATTTTCACTGAAGAAACTTCTAAATTGTTTGTACAAAATAAAGAAATGAATGTTATGAAGTTATTAATTCTGCTCTACAAGGAGTTAAGGACAGTGATAACATTCTGTGTACGTATTTCAGGAACATTATAGTGCAGAGGTCAACTACACATTGACTTTGAAATGACTCATCTCATGTTGTAGCATATCAGTTTATTAACCCTTCCGCGACGGATAGTATTTAAATCTTTTCCTACCGCTAAACCGACGGGGTATTTAATTATTAAACAGAAAAGTTCTGTTATCCATGAAAAACTTAGTAACTCTCGCAAAAATAGGTATATTGAGATAAAATTTTCACANAAGCTGTCCTGTACTTCTGACATATTTTGGTTTTGCTATTGACCACCACCAGGAGAGAACGTTTTTCAGACAAAAGTGTTAAAAGACTAAATAAGTTCTAATAAGCAATTACAGATGCTATTCTGAAATTCTTATAACATTCTCTTAATGTTATTATGTTTTCATAGTAGATTCCATATTCTATTTCTTTAACTAGATTGTTTCATTGAGCCTTTCACTTAAACATAGGACATCATATGTGTTATTTCTTCTATCAGGTATTGGGCAGGTCTTAAATATGAGTATTTTGAGTGTTTATGAAAATTCCATTGAAAGTAATCAAATCAGTGATCACTCTGATCCACTGTTTGCTCTCCAGATATGCTTTATGTAAAATATGTTAGCAGTTAATATAATATTGTATGAGGAATTATTATTAGGAGGCAGTAGGTTTTTATGTGATGAATTTTGTGTAGTTCTTCCATTCTTAATTTCTGAAGGATTTAAACATTAAATTTTTGGTTTGTTTTTACGTTCAGGATCAAGGAACTGGTAACTCTATCATGTAAATGATTGAAAATTTGGATCTGTGTGTGTTTGTTTTACATCTGGTTATTTGTATTCCTGGAGCACTATAGGTCTGTCAGTAACTTCTTTGGAAGTAGTGTAAAGGGGAGTAGAATAGATCACTGTGGTCGTGAAACTGATAGTGTGCACAAATAAAACGCATTTATGCTCATATTTACTTTGCTGTACTAAGGAATGAACTCCTGTCTATTTTTCAACTAGTACAGGATTGGTAGCTTCTAAAACATATCACATTGAAGCATTTGATGACTGTCAAAGGATTATTCAGTACTCAGACATATCATTATTATAGCTGAGCTCAATGCATTTGTGCTTGATGATAAGTATAAATAAGTATTCACATTGGTGGATATTGAAAGTGTATTCATGTCTGCTGCTTGGTATTCATTCTGTGTTTGGTATGCCCTAGAGTAAATTAATATAGCTGTTGTTTTTGTGGTAATGAAATATTACCTATCAACTATCAGGGTTGTGCACTATCAGTGGTTCAGATGTTTGTAAACAATGAATTGGAAGGAACTGGGTAGAAGTAATTATGGCCTGTATGTTCTGTGTGAGGAACTGGGAAGCAGCAGAGAAAACTTCAGTGCGAAATCCTTTTTCCTAGGATATTTCGTCTGTGAGTAAGAGAGAGAACACCATGGGGCTTTCTTGTTGAATTGCTGTATCACAGTAAGTTATAAAGTGCATGTTATAAGAAATTTAGTGAATTAGTCATATCTGTAAACTTTTTTTTTTAATACAATACATATAAGTTGCATTTGGGTTCATAATATCCACATTTCTTTCTCAAAACTGGCATGTGCAGAAATTGTCTTGGGTACTGGTCTGGTTGTTCTTCCATAGGGATAAAGTGGCCAGTGTCTAAACCTACAGCATGAAGCCTTTCTTCTCTGTGCCTTATATGGTACTTGGACTCAAGCAACTTTATGCATACACTTGCTTTAGTACACTGAGTGCATTAGGACAGTTTGAATAATAGCACTTCAGCTCCTCAGATTGTATTTTATTCTCATTAAGTTTAGTGTTTCAAGTCTTATGGGGGGGGGTGTCAGAAAACTTGGTTTCTATAAAACAAACAAACTGTGGTTTTAGTCCACAAGCGAACTATACCGACCAAGCGACCGCTGCTTGTTGGCGAAGTTAGTGCCAACATTAGCGCATAGAGGGTGTCGCGTGGTCAGCGCAACGGATCCCCACGGCCATTAATTTTGGTTTTCTAGACCAGGGTTTTTATAGACATAAATTATATTCAAATCTGAAGTCTCATTAAGTTGAGTATGACATTGATTACTGAATAAATTATGACAGAAGGATCACAGTTCACACAATAAATTTCTTAAGTGAAGTGATAACAGCAGAGTGAGATTATAGACCAGTGTGTCACAAAATTTACGTTTCAGCATCATCAGTGGTTTTCTTCTGTATCAGGTTTCATAAGTGAGATGCTTGCAAGTACAGAAACTTGATTATGCACAACTCAGTCTGTAAGTTATTTTTATACAAATTCAGTGTTTACAAATACGAGACTTTTGTAATAATCATTCCAGTTAGTTGGTGTTATATTTTAGTAAATATGGTAGCATGATCTTTAAGAGAACCAAATTGATTTGGCCTTGCCCAACACAGTGTAGCAGTTCATTCTGATTAGTGGGATGGAGAAAAGCAATTTTTATGGCAGTATTTTGAAATGAATATGGAATACAATAAATAACATTACATGGAGAAGTATCTGTAATTGTTATGTGTAAGAATTATTTCATTAACTCAGCATGTAAACAGTATACAGATCATTTCAGATGATCATACTGCCACTGCTATGAAGAGTGAGGCAGTACTTAACCTCTGAATCATCAATAATGATTTACCAGACTAAAGACCATCACATCTCATCTAACAGTACTCTTTGTAGACTTATTCATTTCCTGTATGGTATATATAGACAGGTGCCTGTACAGTTCTGTAACAAAGAAATGTAAAATTAATATTTCTAGATTACTTTCCTATGCTAAATAAATGGAGGTATTGTATGTAGACTGGACAGTTCTGATGTTTCATGTTTAAGGACAGTATTGTTGCAGGAGAGCAGATTCATGATGCGAGATTTTATTTCCTGATTTACCAAACACATTGCCTCATGTGGCTTACCTTCAGGAGTCAGGATTTAACAAACTGGATTACAAAAGAAGTATTCATACTATTC